CTATTTTAATTGGCACATATTCAAAAGTATCCATAGAACAAAAATAGCCTTAAGGTTCTAACATGGGTAATACACTTATGAAAAAGAACAAACAGGGAGCCAGGCGTGGGGGTGAGTGAATTCCTGTAATCCAGCTGCTCTGGAGGCTGCAGTAAGGGGATCCAAGTTCAAGGCCACCCTGGGTATCTAAGAAACAGTGTGTCTCCAAATGAAATAAGAAAGGGTGGAGTTCAGTGGTAGAGTATTTGCCTACTGTGCTTAAGGAACTAAGTTCGATCTCCAACAGGAGGGCGGGAGGAAGAGGGAGGAGCAGGAAGAGTGGAAGGAGGAGGAGGGAGAAGAAGAAGAAAGAGGAGGAGGAGGATTCACAACACCCATCAGGTAACGGGGATAAAGTAGCTAGCACTGAAGTGAAGGGGAGATGTTAGCATTCTTCGTTTCCACATAGGCAAAAATTAATTGGACCTGTAGAGGTAGCTCAGCCGGTATACAAGGCCCTGTGTTCAATGCCTAGGGCCTCAAAATAAAAAATGTATGTGGTTTTAAACACATGTTTAAACAATGGTACCCTGAAGATTTTTTAATATATAAAAGTCCCTCAACTCAAATGGTTTAGTTTATTTTTCATTCTTTTCTTAAAATGCAACATGTGTTCAATCATAACAAACCAAAAATTTAATACTCATGACTCAAAGCCTCAAGGATGCTTATTTTATCCCCCGAAAAATACCAATATAGCAAAACTCAAGAAAGTGCCATTTATGCGGCTTCAAACCTCAGCAACTGCCTTCAAAAGCTGATTTTTTAAAAAATGACTTCCAATCCTCTAACCACATAATAGTTATGTATGGGTAAAAATACAAAGTCATCTTTTAATTCTCATGCACTTTCCAAAGAAGTTATTAAAGGCATTGAATTGTTCCCCCCATGGAAAAATTATTCTGAGATTTTTAGAAGGTTGACTTATTTGTTCAAGAAAACAATGGTATTCAAAAATAGGTGGCCCCTATTTTCTGTATTACATTACTTTAAATTTTTTATTTTTTCCAAGAACTGCAACTAACATTTTAAACCATCTGCTGTTGTATCTTAAATAAAAACTCAGTGATAACCAGTATTTAGTCTATTAAAAATACTTTTTTGGAAGAAAACAGTTTCAAAGTCTCTGATTAGTCAGAATATAGTATGACTCTTCACTAAGAAAAACAGTGACTCATTTTCTTTGTGAAAACCTGGGAAAATGCAAGTGTGGGTATGATGTGTGTGTTCTATTTGCATTGAAACAATTTAATTTTGTGTCTTTTTGCTTTTCCTGACTTATTTCAGCAATTGTACAGTCTTTTGGGGGGGGGCTTTTCTGTTAATATATTTGCAATTCATTAAAGAATATGGAAAATCGAAATAAATTAACTTTTAAAAGCAAAAACAAACAACAAAAAAAAACAAGTTATTAAAATGTGTGTTCGGGGCCAGGGATGTAGCTTAGTGGTTCTGCCACCTGCCTTGCAAGTGCAAGGACCTGAGTTTGATCCCCAGAACAAAAGAAAAATGTGTGCTTTCCCAGGAGAGAGTCACCTAAGCAAGATGAAGGATGGGGACAGAAAACGTGAGGTGCACCAGGAAAGAGGCAAAGCACCCCCTGCAGGATGTCCTGGAGCAGCCCAGTGGCTACAGGGCAGGCACCGAGGTTGACCCGTCCAGATGGCAGCCTTTGAGGTGCACTGGCGATACAGCCTGCAGCTGTTCCCCCAGTTCCAGCTGCCACTGCTCTACCCGAGCACACGCTGCTCACGAGCCCGGCCCCCACCCCAAATGCACTGGGTACATCCGGACTACGTCATGACGCCATTCCCAATCTCCCGTTCTGCACCCCCCATTCTCTATTGGCCACCCCAACTACTCCTAAAACTGAGCTGGGCTACAGAAAGCTCAGAAGCAAAGAATGCAGAGCAGCCCTGCCCTGATAACTCTCCTGACCAACACACAGCACCAGCCCTGCTGGGCCCGCCTGGTGTCTGGGCCATGTGGAGAACTGCATCCCCGGGACGCACACTGACCGCTGCAGAAGGACTGCGATAAACTCCAGTGATGCAGAGCCAGACAGCTACCGCACAGAATCTACCCAGCTCGCATTCTCCTGGGGCCTTCATCTGAAAACAGAGATTCTGTCCAGTCCTTACAACAGCTAGGTTTGTGCTTACTTCTTGGTCTTTCAAAACTTGAATACCAACTGTTGTAGGGTGCAATGCTAAATGAAAGATCAGTAAAGAAAAACAAGGGAATGATTAATACAAAACGCAGGACATTAGTTACCTTGGGTCCAGGTGTTGAAACTAGGGCAGGACACAAAGAAAGCTTTTGAAGGTACACAGTCTAACTTCATAATCTGGAGGACAAAGTGCTCATTTTACTACTTAAGGGCTCACAGTTATGCACTGGTACATGTGGGATAGGACTGCTGTGAAGGAAAGCACCTCGCCAAGGAGCAGAATCAGGGGGACCTATGCAGCAGCTATCACCTGAGGGGCTAACCCTTCCCTCTGGCTCACCAAGCACATCCCCTTGGAGATCTATCAATCCAAAAGGGGCAACTTTTCCAAATGCGCAACACTCTCTTTTTCAAAGCACTATTACTCAAACTTTAAATGACCTAGTGATCTTGTTAAAATGAAAAGCCTGACGTAGAAAGTCCAGGAAGAAGGAGATCTGTCGCATCTCTAACAAGTTGTCAGGTGACACAAACACTGCTGGTCTACACAACACACTACACTCTCAAGAATTTACATCTAGATTTTTTTGTCTCTCTCCCTGAATGAGAACACAGGCTTCAGGAGAGGAGGATTTTTGTCTTTGCTTATTGCTATATCTCGAATGCTTGAAACAGAAACCTGCACCTAAGAAGTAACCAATACACTTTTTAAATCAAAAGAGGCAAAGTCTGTTTCCTTAATAGGAATAAAAATTTTAGTTTGCTTTTCTTTGGGGAGGTACTGAGGACTGAATCCAAGGCCTCACACAGGATGGCAAGGACTCCACCACTATGCTATATCCCGAGCCCTTTTTTCAAGACAGTCACTTGGTTGCCCAGAGCTTGAACCTGTAATCACCCTGCCTCAGCCTCCCAAGTTATGGGGATTACAGACATGTGCTACCACGCCTGGCAAAAATGAACTACTTAAAATATAATCACTAAATCTGTCTGACTTCCAAATATTAAAATACATTATTTTAAATGAAATCAATAGAATTAGTGTGACTTTAGAAAACTATTTGAAAAAATGTTCAAAAATCTTATATTTAAAAGTATGTACGTGGGCCAGAGATGTAGCTCCAAGGAGATGTGGTGCTGTGCCTCTCTGGCAAGCTCAAGATCCTGAGTTTGATTCCCAGTACCAGAAAAAATAAAAAACTAAAAAAACAAAAAACAGAAAACAGAAGTATGTACAGCCAGGCATGGTGGCATACACCTTTAACCTAGCACTCGGGAGGCTGAGGCAGGAGGACTGCCATGAGCTCGAAGCCAGCCTGGGCTACAATAGTGAGTTCAAGGATGGCCTGAACTACACAGTGACACCCTGTCTCAAAAAAAAAAAAAGGAAAAGAAAAGTATGTACAAAGTACCAGTCTGTACAAGAGACTTTCAAGTTCCTGTGAAGCGTTTCTCAGACAATACACACTTTAAAATCATCATTCTTATTTTTCAAAGAGTTAAAAGGGAACAACGCCGATGACACCTAAGTCTCCAATGTGAAATGCTACTCCCTTCAGGCCACCTCGCATGCAACACAGCAGAGAACACACTCAATACCATTTGTTGGCTGACTGAATCAACGAATGAATAACCAGTCAAAGAAACAGGAGATCCAAATACAACCAACAACTCCCTGACCCCACTCAGCTAACCACGCCACCCACACAAAACTCCCTTCGGAGTAACTGCTAGGCCCGACTCCAGCAGGCCTCCACACAGCCTGGCTCACCAGGAAGCTGCTGCCAGCCGGGCTATCGCTCAATGGCAGAGCGCTTGCCTAGCACGGCAAAGCCTTCAGTTTGGTCTCCAGCCAAACTGGAAAAAAAGGAGCTGCCTACTGCCCCTCTGAAACAGGTCTCTGGGTGAATGGAATAGAAAACAAGTCAACTAAATTGATTTTTTTTTTTAATGCAGTGATAGGCATATGCTCTACCACTGAGCTACACCCTCAAATGAAATTTTAAAAGCCGCAAAGTCAAGAGCATAAGGTGTTACTTAGGGAGGGCTGACCTGAGTGGGGTGTTCAGGAAAGCATTCTGAGCAACAAAATATCAAGTTACAAAAACACAGGAACAGTCTGTTTTGTTGGGAGAGAGGGAGAGAGGGAGAGAGGGGGAGAGGGAGAGGGGGGGAGAGG